TGGGAATTCTGGGAGCCAGCGGTCTGTGTCCTTCCTCTGGCTGCTCCTGCACAGGAACAGGGCGCGACTGAGAAAATGGCTTTCGAAGCGCAGTTATCATCTTGAACGGTTCGTACCGTGCTCAAAGCTTTGTGTTTTGTCCCTCAGTTGATCGACGTTCACGCTGTCTTCTACAAGTTTCCAAACACTCCCTTTGGGCATTTGCATCCACATTGACCTTACAGGACCCTGCGCATTTACTGGAAATATGAACTCTTTCGGACAAGCTGACACTACATACGTCACTCCATCGATGACATGTTTTCCTTCAGGTAACGTTTGCATGTGTGCTAGAGGTTCGTTGTTTCCAGAGGAACCTGCACTACGACTGTCATTCGTGTTCTGCGCGCCGGTGGACCCGTTATTTTGTGGATGAGCTTCTCCTGAGAGGCTCATTGGAACGTCGCTCGGTTCAGATCTGTTTTGGGGATCGTTGTCCCCCTCGCGTTGAACGAACAATGTGATTGTCCTGCCTGGCATAATGAAATCTTCTGGCATTTCGAGTTTTGTCCAGTCTACCCTGTTTTCCAAGAGCACCCATTCGTTCCTTGGCCATTTTACCCACGTGATGCGCAGAGGGAAATGTGTTGCGATTTTATCGTATGTGAGCTTCTTTGGCAACTGTCCGACGGGAACTCTGTGTTTCTCTGCTTTGGGTGTCACCACATAAGGTTCGCCCTCAGAGGTGGTACTCCAAATTTCCTTGTTCATCGTTGCGGGAATGTTCATTCTCAATTCTTCCGGCGGCTCGTCGAGAGGCCGGAGGACAGCTGAGTGCAACGACTGGCGCTGGATGATTGGCATGATCTTTACCGGGTCTACAAACTTACACGTTACCCGATACAGGAAATTGTGTTCTTTCACAGACAACGGTTTTGGGATATGTGGTCCTTTCATCACACAAATGTTGCCATCAAACATGCAAGTGATGTTTTTCTGTTTCGTTAGCCTGCTGATTATGATGAGTGTGGTACTTGCTTCTTTGAAGACACTGAAACGGATTACAAACACTACCGTCGCGCCGTTGTGGCCGATCAATTGTATAGGTACGTATTTGTGTCCAATCCGTGTCATCGGATCTCCCGAGGCGGTCACACGTCCTTTGCCAGCAGACTTTACCACAGGGATGTGTTTCGCGAAAGACTCATTGCACACATGATCGAAGGTTCCAGAATCCAAGAGGATCTGGAAGTCTCTGCGTGTGTATGTGCTGGTGGACGCGACGCTGTTCTGTCCCTGCGGGACTTCGTCCAAAAAACTAGTTTATGTAGTGTTCACCTTTCCCAGAGTCCACCACGATGCACATCAAAATCGCTTGTACGATGATCAGCCCGACGATGGCCCAACGCACTTTTGACAAGCTTGTGCATGCATGTGAACACACGTCGCAGATTTCAAACCACATGCTTGCACAAAACGACACCACACACATCATCACAAACATCGTCATCATGTATAGCGTCGTCCCTGGAAAGCTCTCGGCGATTTTGCGATGAGTGCTAATGGGATCATCGCCCTCGTCATCCGAATCCGCCATCACAAACCATTCTGGACAGTCGTGGGAATCTTCGCACTGGTCTGCCACAGGTTCCATTTGAGAGCCTGTCTCCGCAAGAAGTCCAGTGGGATCTGTCTGAGATCCCACATCCACACAGAAAGCGTGCTCACTGGGTGCGCTGCTCTCGCTGCCAGCGTCGCTCGACGAATCCGCAAAACCATACTCGAAAGCAAGTGCGTTGTCATCCTGTGATTCTGCTCCCGGATCGCTCTCGGCTGGCGCAGCTGACTCACATGGGAAACACTCGTTCGACTCGGTCGACTCGCTGTCGCCTTCGTCCGGAGAGTTGCTCCCAGGAAGCAGAGCCGCGAACTCCTCTGGGGAGTATTCGTCGTGTTGTTCTGGCTGTTCTTCTCCATCCTGGTTCCAATCGCCCTGCTCGTCCCAAGACCACCCGGGACCCCAAGAATCTTGGTCCCAGGCCTGTTCGTAGGAATGGCTTCCTTTCCCTGATCGATTTTTCCCTTTGTTGTTGAATCTGCACTGTGACGTCCAATGGTTCCTCATCCTGCACATGTCACACCACTTGTTTGCGTTCTGACTCCAGCCATTTTTGCCTCCACTGCTCGACTGGTCCCTACCTTTGCCTCCATTGTTCGTTTGGTCCCTGCCTTTACCTTTCCGGTCGTTCTGGTACCAGCCCTGGGCCTGAGTGGAGGAACCCTGTCCTCGCCAAGAGGATGATGGGTATCCACGGCCAGACCCCGCTCCTTGGGAATATCCCTTCGGAGTGCCCTTGGGGGTGCCTTTGGGGGATCCTTTCGGAGAGCCCCTATTGTCACCCTTTGGGGATCCTTTCGGAAAACCTTTCGGGGTACCTTTCGGAGAACCCTTCAACGCATCAACTTCCATAGGTTTCGGTCCGTTGTCCTTTCTGGCGTACGGGTTTTTCCATTCACGTTTGATCCCAACGTATTTGTGGATCTCTCGTTTGAGGTCTTCATATGTTTCGCACAGATGTGTATTTAAATCGAAATGTGTCTGCATGGGTTCCGGGATCGTTTTCATAACCACGCTGACAATTACATCATCTGCTAGCTCGTCAGGGCTTGCCAAATCGTCGTACTCTTTTATTAGCAACTCCATCTCTTCCAGGCGCTCAAGAACCTCTGGGAGGGAAGAGCCCGAGAAACTGATGTCCATGACTGCGTTTAGAACCCCTCTTTTCGTGTTTTTGTCTTTGTGCTCATACCTTATGCACATCCTACGCCACATCTCAAGACCGTTCCCTTTCTCTAATTTCCTAAATACTTTCGTCATCTCTCCGTACACAACACTCTTTAGAATATACGCTAAATTTGCTGAATGTTGTTTCACATCGTCTTCTGTGGCTGCTAGTGTGATGGGATTCGAATGTTCTCGTGCTCGTTCCATGTTCTGCAACATTACTTGGCTCACAGCTCCACAATAATATTCGAAACGATAACACCAATCGCTCCATTCACTTTCATCTCCGGAGAAATCTTTTAGACCTCGTCCTAACAGTTTCGTGTCAATCATTGCTGCAATTCTTTCTACACTACGTGTCTTCCCAGAGCCCTACTTGGGTTGGGGATGCTACTCTACAACGAGTCTTCCCAGAGCCCTACTTGGGATGGGGATGATATCTAGGTCCGTGTATTGTTCACCACGGCTCCGCTACCATGAAAGGATAAGCGGATGATTTCGATATGGAGTAAGTTTTCCTGGGCTCGAGGCTCAAACCGGCTGCGGTGCGAACAAGGGACTCTCACAAGGGATTATCACAGGTTATGGAGGAGGAGGTGGAGGAGGAGGAGGAAGAGCAGGACCAGTCTAAGCCCAAGACGCGTCCACGGCGTTGCAGTAAACCCTCCCCCCGAGTTCCCTGTTCACGGATCCCTGCATGATGCTTTTTCTCATTGCGGAAAGTGGCCCATTAAATTGGCATCGCTCGGACGTGTGCATTTTTTTCGCGAGAACCATCGAGGACCATCCTGGACCATCGAGCAAAAACAAACACGCACGAAACCGAACAATGCACGGGACATAGACGTCCGAGCGACGGCAAGTTAAGAATTGAATTGTTTGAGAACCTTCAAGCGTGGCGAAACACCATTCCTGGGTCTGCAACGCCGCGTGACGACGTGACTGGCGCCTGACCTGAACCGTGCCACAACACCAATCTTGAGACTTACACCCGCGCATCAACTTGACTGTTGCGTTGTGGCAATTCCGAATCGTGCCAGAACACCATTCCTGGGACTCCAGCCATGCGAACCCTTGAACTTGATGCGAATGCTTGAGACACATGTGCGCGGCGCTGGGGCGAGAACAATGTTTTTGAAACTGGTCCGCATTCCATGTGTGAAATGGTTGCAAACGTTTGCGACGAATGCGCGCGGCGCTGAGGCGAAAACGTTTTATTTATCTTTTTAATAAAACAAAACAAACACGGGCCGCCCTGCATCCTTGAAACTGTTGCGAATGTGTGCAACGAATGTGCGCGGCGCTAAGGAGATAACCACATTGTGAAACCGGTCCGCACTCCATCCGTGAAGCTCTGGCAACGGCGCTGAGGCGAGAGCCACGTTCTGAGAACGGCCGCCCTCCGTCCCTGAAGCTGCTGCGAACCTTGAAGACGGATGTGCGCGGCGCCAAGGCGAAGGCCACACCGTCGAAGACCCGCTCTCCGTCTGTGGAGCTGGCAAACCTCAAGCTTCAGGATCATGAACGATGAGGTATGGTCTGACGAGACGCCTGGCCCGCCCGACCGACGCGCCTGGGAGTGCGACTGGGAGAGGTTATCTATAATCATAACAAGAAAACAACACATCAGCACAAAGGGTTTTAGTGGTTTTACGCCGGAAGGGGAATGGCTGCGGCCCCATAGGGAGCTCCACCGAAGGCCCCAGTGGCTGCGCCCGCATGCGGTTCCACCCCCCATTCTGGCACACCCCTCACACGTTTCGTGGCCCCATAGGGACCTCCACCGAAGGCCCCAGTGGCTGCGCCCGCATGCGGTTCCACCCCCCATTCTGGCACACCCCTCACACGTTTCGTGGCCCCATAGGGAGCTCCACCGAAGGCCCCAGTGGCTGCGCCCGCATGCGGTTCCACCCCCCATTCTGGCACACCCCTCACACGTTTCGTGGCCCCATAGGGAGCTCCACCGAAGGCCCCAGTGGCTGCGCCCGCATGCGGTTCCACCCCCCATTCTGGCACACCCCTCACACGTTTCGTGGCCCCATAGGGAGCTCCACCGAAGGCCCCAGTGGCTGCGCCCGCATGCGGTTCCACCCCCCATTCTGGCACACCCCTCACACGCTTCGTGGGTGGCTCCATGGGGAGCTCCACCGAAGGCCCCAGTGGCTGCGCTCGCATGTGGTTCCCCCCCCCATTTCGGCACCCAGACCTTGAGGGCCCCGTCGCCCCCCCCTGACACCGCGCGCCCGGGCCCCGCGAGGGCCACGCACTCGACCCAACCCTGGTGGCCGGCCAGGGTCCTCTCGCAGGTGCCCGCCGCGAGGTCCCAGACCTTGAGGGTCGTGTCGGCGGACCCGGACACCGCGCGCCCGGGCCCCGCGAGGGCCACGCACTTGACCCCCTTTTGGTGGCCAGCCAAGGTCCTCTCGCAGGTGCCCGCCGCGAATCCCCGACCTTGACGGTCCTGTCGATCGACCCGGACACCGCGCGCCCAGGCCCCGCGAGGGCCACGCAGATGACAAAATGCTGGTGGCCGGCCAGGGTCCTCTCGCAGGTGCCCGCCGCGAGGTCCCAGACCTTGAGGGTCTTGTCGCGGGGCCCGGACACCGCGCGCCCAGGCCCCGCGAGGGCCACGCATCTGACACACTCCTGGTGGCCGGCCAGGGTCCTCTCGCAGGTGCCCGCCGCGAGGTCCCAGACCTCGAGGGTCCTGTCCTCCGACCCGGACACCGCGCGGGCGAACTCCACCGCGATCGGGGCCTCCTGCTCTAGTAAGTTTCCCGTGCAAGCCTGGTTTCTTATTCTCATTACGATCAGAATAAACCGAACAACAAACTCCGATCAGAGTAAACATCATTACGATCCGAATAAGCCGAACAAAAAACTCCGTTCAGAGTAAACATAATAACAAAACTCATAACAGCAACAACGAAGCGTTGAAACAAACAGCATAGAGGCCAACACGCGTGCGACCCTCAGTTTCCTGGAGCGTGATCCGTACGATTGGAGCAGGCGCTGATTGCAACTCATTTCGACGATGTCCCGCAGGTTTCCCCCCCCCCGAGCACTTTTCGCTGGAATCCAATCGCGCGCGAGCGCCAGAGGACCTGCTGGTCGGTCGACGACGACGACGACGACGACGACGGAGACGACGACGACGACGATGACGACGACGGCTGTGGTGACCACCCTCACCACCACCACCTCGTCGTCGTCGGTCGTCGTCGGTCGTCGTCGATCGTCGTCGGTCGTCGTGGTCGTCGTCGTCGTCGCGGCGGTGGTGGCAGGTGGTGCCCTGTGTGCTTAATAGGCCAGGCCGTGCAACTCGCCCTGGGCGGTTCCCCCAGGATCCGCCCCGCGGTTCCCCCAGTTACGTCCCCTCTAGCATGTTCAATGAACGCCAAATGCTGCATTTCCCTAGGGGGTCCTGAGGATATATTGGGAGCTTCTTGGGGGAACCTGGCCAAGTATAGAATCCGGAGGAAACTCGAGGAATCCTGAGGAACCTATATGAATGCAGAGGAATCCAGAGGAATCCGTCGGAATCGGGGGAAACCCTGATGGATCTGTGGAACCATGAGGAGTCCCGAGGACACCTGAAGAATCCGGAGAACCCAGAAAGGAATCCACATGAATCTGGAGGAGCCTGAAGGAACCCTGAGGAAACTTGAGGAATCAGAAGAAGTTGGGGGGCTTGGGTGATTCCAAAAAGAGTCTGGAGGAATCTTAACTGAAACCAAAAGCAGGCTTCCCAGGGAAACTTACTATCCTGCTCGCAGTGCGCCATGAGGAAACCGATCTCTTCGTCTGAATACTCTTGCCCGCCACAGATGCGCGCGAAGTGCGCCACCGTGCTGCACTTGCTGTCCAGGACGCCGTTCGCGATGAGCGCGGACACGTCGAAGGGCTTCGAAAGCGCCGACATGATCGTGCCCTGGTGGTCCTGCCGGACGTGCTTCGCCGCCCACGCCTCGGCATGCGCGAGGCAGAAGAAGGCCTCCCAGAGGCGCCGGTGGCGCTCGTCCTTCCTGTTGAGTTGCTTGGAGCAGTGGCCCAGTTCCATGCCCAGCTCTCGCTTCATGTCGTCCCCGTCGAAGAGCTGCTTCACGGCGTGCACCAGACCGGTGTGCACCATCCCACCAGGGATATCCTTGTTGAGAGAGGTGACCTGTATGGCCGTCACGCGCAGCGACGTCGCCCGGATCTTCCCGTCGAGAGAGGAGCTCTGGTGGAAGGCGCGACACGCTAAGTCCTCCGCTCTGACCGCTTCCTCGTAGAACGTCTTTATAATGTTTTTGACCTGATCCTTGTCTCCCTGCTCTTCAAATTTGAAGAGCTCCGGGATCTTGCGCAGGAGGCCCTCCACCTTGTCCCCCGCTGCACGCAGTGGCCCTGTGCGCATGCGCTCAAGACTTTCCTGGATCTTTCCATGTTAGGGGGCAAACAAACCTACCTCGTTTTTGACCACCCTCGCTTCCAAGAGATACCAAGCGATGCCAAATTGCAGCCTGCACTGGTCAGGACGCTTGACGAGGAGGCGCGTGGTATGGCTTGGTTTTGCCTGGAAGCGAAAGCGGGGTAGGTAATTCACGCTCTGACAAGTTGCGTCCCAAAAAACTGTTTCAAGATCTTGCCAACGTCCGTGCCCTCCGTCCAGCTCACCATGGCGTTGCAGATGCAGCGACCAAGGAGCTCGACCGGGAAGGACAGGGAGAGCCTTAGGCTGGTGCCCTCCAGGAGCCTCGACACCTGGCCGACGGCCCCGTTGATCTTGTCCAATCGCGCCTGGGGAATCGCATCCCAGTGGGGGACCTCCTCCTGCAAAGTCGACACCTCTAGGCTCAGGTCGCCGCCGTCGGCGGGCTGGCCCTCGGGCGCGGCGGCGCCGCCGTTCTCCTCGGCGCCCATGCCCGCGACGTGGTCTGCCGCGAGGTCCGCGGCCGAGGCCGACCCGCGCCAGCAGCGGACGCACCAGTTGACGAACCTGCGCACCGACTGCATGGCGGGATGTACGGCGCCGGGATGCAAGGCCAGAAGGGCCAGAAGATTGACTTGATGCGCGGAACCGCCTGGGCCAAGTCTTGAGCCAAAATGGCTACGGAGGAGGAGGAGGAGCAGCAGGAGGAGGAGGAGGAGCAGGAGGAGGAGGAGGACAGCACCTGGGCAGAGCCGAAGGCTGCAGCAAGCACGCGCCGAAGGACCGAGGAGGAGGAGCAGGAGGAGGAGGAGGAGGAGGAGGAGGGGGGGGGAGTGGCGCGGACCAGGAGGGAGGACCAGGGGACGCATCGAAGCAAGAAGGGTCCAGGGAGATGTCATGGCACTGGCCATGATATCCGCCCCCCCTTGCCTTCGTGAGCCTTCGTAAGCCTCAATGGATCCTCCGATCCTCGATCCTCGATCCGTCCTCGATCCTCGATTCTGGATCGATCCTCGATCATCGATTCTAGACGAGTCCTCCACCCCCTCTTGGACGTCCTGACCCTGCGCGTCCTGCCCCCACACATGGCGGAGGAGGAGACACGACGAGCCACTGCTCGCACAACTCGGGGCGATGAGGCCACAGAAAATCTCGCAGGTGGGTCGTACGAAGCTCAGCAAGGGCCTCCTGCTGATGCAATCTTCTCCTCCTCCTCCTCCTACTCCTCCTCGGTCCTTCGGCGCGTGCTTGCTGCAGCCTTCTGCTCTGCCCAGGTGCTGTGCTCGGTTCGCTGGAAGGCGGAAATTCCAAAAACATGTGGGCATTGGCAGACGCTGATACCTAAGACATAGCCACCTGCCCACAACTCCGACGTCGTGATTGATTCACCACGTGGAACCCCGAATTGTCTGAACCCGTTCCCTGGGGCTTGAGCTTGATTATGCGTCGCTTGGTCCAGGCGAGCCCCCAGGGGCCGAAAATTGCCAAACACCTCCCGCCGTGATTTCTCACAACGAGAGGAGGTGGGGGGACAGGTCTGCCTTCCCAGGAGATCCGCCGTCGTGAACAAAACCAAAATTCGAAAATCACGACCGAAAGCCTAGACCCCCAGACCCCATCTGTCGAGCCAGTCTGTGATGGTCCCGGGGCCTAAATCCTTGAGAAGACGCAGCAGCAGAATGATGGCCAGGGAGAATGCCGCGCCACAGGGAGGCGCCCTCCACGCCGCCGCCTTCGCAGCCGCCGCGCTCACGGAGGCGTCGTCCGACACGTCGAGCACGAGGGCCTCGATGCGGCCCTTCGCCTCCGCGCGACGATCTCATCGTCCTCGTACTCCCCTTATCATTATCCTCATCCTCATCCTCATCCTCCTCATCATCATCAGCATCATCATCAACATCAGCAGCATCAGCATCAGCATCAGCATCAGCATCAGCATCATCATCATCATCATCATCATCATCATCAGCAGCAACATCATTATCAGCATCATCATCATCAGCAGCAGCATCAGCATCAGCATCAGCAGCAGCACCATCATCATCACCACCACCATCATCATCATCATCATCATCATCACCACCATCGTCATCATCAGCATCAGCATCATCAGCATCAGCAGCAGCAACATCATGACAATGATAATAATAAGGATGATAATTCTAATAATGCTAAAAATCCGCCAGCCCCCTTGCGGGGCCACCAGGCTGTAGGCCAGGAATGTGCTGCTCCCTGTACCAGTTGCAGCTTCCAGTTTCCACTGTCACAGTTCTGCTTCTTGCTGCTTACTGTTCCTTGTTGATGAACGCGCGAGGAGGGGGGAGCCCAAACCAGCAGAACTACCACGCCCTGGGAGGGTTCTCAGAATTTCTAGGGGGGGAAAATTGGCACCCCTCACGCAGATCCGCAGGGTCAGGGTCCAAAAACTGAAGGGATTTGCCACATTTTTGAACTTCAGTGGCACCCCTCACGCAGATCGGCGGGGTCAGGGTCAAAAAACAAACAAGATTTGCCACATTTCTGAAATTCGGTGGCACCCCTCACACAGATTTCTAAAATTCGGCAGCACCCCTCACGCAAATCGGCAGGGTCAGGGTCCAAAAACAGATGGGATTTGCACTTTCCTGAAATTCGGTGGCACCCCTCACGTATTTCGGCGGGGTCAGGGTCCAAAAACACATGGGATTTGCAACATTCCTGAAATTCGGTGGCACCCCTCACGCAAAATCGGCGGGGCCAGGGTCGAAAAACAAACAGGCCCCGACACTGCTTCACGGCGTCGCCCGGACCTCGTGATTTAGCTTCTGCATCTCCCATTATCCGAGACAGGGGGCCGGCGGCATGGGGCGAAGCCCAGTGCCGTTTTTAATACATGCTTCGCGTGCGGATCATGTATGAAAAATGCAGGGATTTAGCATTAAAAACAACGATGAGTTCATGCATAAATCTATTCCTAAATTCATCATGCATTAAAAATCCCATAGTTTTTAAAATCCGATGTATTAAAAACTGCCCTGTACGGATCCGGCCGCTCCCGCCCTGCGGTGTGGGCCGTGCGAGACCTCTCTGACAGAGTGTTTGGCACAGCCTTTGGCCCTATTCGCCAGTGCCTGGTCAAAAACCTCCCTGAAAGTCCCTCCGAGGGGGCCTCTGCCGCCGGCGGCCCCCCCTCGACCTCAAGGTCTCAAACGGCCCAAGCCGGTCCAAGAGAGTCCGGAGCAGTCCAAGAGAGCCTCCCGACGGTTCCACATCGCTCCAAGAAGCCCAAGATGGACTCCAGAAGGCCCAAGACGCCTCCAAGACGGCCCAAGAGGCCTCGAAGAGCACCCCCAAGAGAGCCCCAAGACGCAGAAAAGATTAATTGTTCAATGGTTTCTGAAGGAAAAACAAAAAAACAAAAAAAACGTTCTCGCCATTTCGACTTACCCACGCTCTCAGACGGCCCAAGAAGCCCCCAAGATCTCCCCACGACGGCCCAAGAAGCGGCCAAGAGGGCTCCACGACAGCTCTAGAGGGCCCCAAAACGGCCGAAGGGGACCCGACAACGGCACACGAGGCCCCAAGAGGCTCCAGGGACAGCTCAAGACGAGGCCCCAGGACGGCCCCACAGGGCGCCTGGCTGGGGAACCTGAATAAACATTTCGAACTGTCGGTCCGAAGAAGCCCCCAAGAAGCTCTCCGAGGCCCCCACGAGCCTTCCAAGACGCGCGAGCCCCGAGAGGCCCCACGGTTCCCAAGAAGCTTCCCGGAGGCTCCCCAGAGGCTCGTAATCAGTATTTTTTCAATCGTTTTGGAAGGACTGTCGCGTTCTCGACATTTCGGCTTACCGACGCTCCAACACGCCCAAAAGGCCCCCAAGATCGCCCCAAAACATGCCAACAAGCCCCCAAAAGGGCTCCAAGACAGCCCAAGAAGGCCCCCGGGACTGCCCAAGAGGCCCCTGGGACGGCCCAAGAGGGGCCCCAGGACAGCCCCACGAGGGAGCCCACAAGGAAAACCCGAGTGAACATGTCGAGATTTCGGTCCCAAGAGGCCCCCAGGAGGCCCTAAGAGACCCCAGGAGGCCCCCAAGAAGCCCCAAAAGAGCCCCAGGGCAACAAGAGGGCCCCAAGAGGTCCCCAAAAAGCCCCCGGGAGGCCCCCGAGAGCCCTCTGGAGAGACCCCAAGAAGCGTCCATGAGGACTCCGACCCCAAAAAAACAAGGACAGTGGTGGGATGGGTCGAAGGCCATTAGATAGTTCGCATATGCGCCGCGTCACGACTTTCGATGCTTCGTACCACTTTGACAAACTCCCAGGGAACGGCTGGTGATGCGCCGCCGGCGTCCTCGATAATAATACTATGAATGAAACTGGCATCAAAATTAAAACAAAAACAGCAAGTGGCACGTGTGCCATGGCTCTTGCACAAAAAGGAAGGGGGAGGAGGAGGAAGAGGTGGAGGAGGAGGGGGAAAGAGGGGACAAGACATTGCCCCTCGGGGCCCAGCAACGGGGCCCA